CACCACCACCACCACCACCACCACCACCACCACCACCACCACCACCACCACCAGCAGCAGCAGCGCTTACTCAGTCTGTGAGATGCCATTTTGGGTAACATCGGCTATCCCTTACTTCCTGAATTGACACACCACTCCCCAAACCAAGGAAGCTTGCCCGTAATTATAGGTTCGAAAATCAAGTGGGTTGATTAACGTTGGACAGCGCCTGGCGTCTGAATCACCCACAAGATGGTTCCCTCTGTATGCGATTTCGTGGTACAACCCAGTCTCAAGAATCATTCTGTCAGTTAAGTGACCAGTACAAGGCTACACATAGTAATGGTGATAAACTTGAAGCATTGGGTTGCCTGATTTCTTAAAACTATTTCTTCAATATTTGTTAGCTGCTCCCGTAACAGTTTTACTCAGCTGCGACTCCCCCGATCCCCCTACTTTCACGCCTTCCTTGAATAAACAAAGGGTAACGGGGGTGGGTGACTGTCATGACGTTTTTACCCACCACAGTCGACGTTGATTATTGGAAATTTCAACCTATTTCGGTGGCAGTGGTGGTGATGGCCGATCACGGGCTACTCGCACGTCATCCGGCTTGGAAATGTTACCGAATTCTCCAATTTAATGGACCAGACGGGATTGAAATGTCTAAGTTGAACTTCTAATGCCTCCTCATCCTTCTCCTTCTCCTCCTCCTCCGTCTCCTCCAACTCCTCCTTCATGTCAACACAACCGAAGGTCACGAAGATGTTGGGTTAAAGCCTTCTAAGATTGTTCCCCTGAGAACCTATCGATTGTATATTAGGTTTCAACACGGTACCGGTAGTTCAAGATTTGGTGGTGGTGGTGGTGGTGGTGGTGGTCAACTATGATCATCCTGACCGTTTTCCGGCCTTAAAATGTTGCCGAATTCCCTGATTCTATCCGCCATTCCTCCAAACCACCAAAAATTTCGCCCAACATTTAGGCCTATGGGGACCGTGCATTGCCTGATTGGGTTTAATTAGTTTTTTTGTGACCATCTGCACGGGAAGGGTAATTTCAGTTTATCCAACCGTTATTGAACAATACGAGCATTCCCGCCAGTTTTTAATGAGAAAACGACCGCCAGTAACAGCAGCGGAAATAACATCTGCCGTGCTGTCCACAAACCCACTCAAATTAAATTCGGAGATTAAACTCCCTTTAGTCATCTTCCATGGAATGAGTTTACAGAGAACGAAGCAGATGGCAATTTGATAACACATGAACTTCTTTACGTCCCAGATCTTCTTTGTTGTTCTCCTTCTTTTCCTGCGTGTCTGTCTACTCAGATCTAAGCCGCGAGTGTTGTTTACAGGTTTCATGCGAGACTCACACATTTCATCATTGCTGGCACGTTGTTTGGCGGTGGTTTGGTTTCAAGTTAGAAAACATGCATTCTAGCGTTGCGATTGGTGTAAATCCACATCGATAAACCCTGTGTACGCATGTCGAGGCGTCGAGTTGAAAAATTTATCCATTTCCAGTCATTCGTGTATCTGTTATGCCCCCAGTGCCTTTCCGCGCGCATCCCGTGGTTGTGTGGATCCGTTAGAGCATTCACTCTTTTGAACAGGCGAGAATTTCATCGTCCTGGATGCTCGACGGCAAACTAGCCAGTGGGGACCCATTGATGCCAGTGGGAAGCGGTTCGAATCCAAAAGTGGGATCTTCTGCAACTGGCGAATCGCCTTTGAATTAGTTTGACGCACTGCGACAAGATTTTCTAGCACAAAAAACAGTTCCATTTCTGCAAGCTGAAATTAACATGTGTCAGTCAAACGAGGGTGATTGCGTGCGTCCTTGATCCACTCTCATAGGTGGCACGAGTCTGCACTTTTGAATGTGCTCAAGTGCGTCGCGAGTGATCGCATTTGTATGGAAAAAAAAGCTTGTTTAAATAAATCTCTGTGCAGATGTAACCCTGCATTTCCGCCATGTTAAAATGGTGTGGATGTGGTTTGTAGCAGATGTTCACAGTGCTGATTAAACAAAAGTGTTGTGATTCTGGAAATGTCCCATAAAGGCCACTTTGCATGCGAATTTAGTTTCGTGTGAAAATAGAGACACACACACATACACTAAAAATTGCAATTAACATCTTACAAATTCAAATAAACAGCGAATTGCAGGCAGAGAAGATATGTATTGTGTAAGGGAGGGAGAAACAGACCAGGTAAAATGGAGCTATTTAAAGTCATCGTTCGATGTCGCGCCGAATCCACATGACTTGGTTTATACTACATCCGTGGTAGAGCCTTTGCACGCTAACTCTCCCGACGTCGATGTGGTCGGTCTGGTGCAGTTCACGATGACCTAATCAAAGTCATCGTAGGATCGGATCGCGGTACTAATGCCATTGGCTGCTCCCAAGCACACGCACACAATTTTAACATGGCGAAGTGCACATAGATTAATTTAAACAAAATTTTTTTTTCATAAAAATGCAATGACTCGCGAGGCACTTGAGCACACTCAAAAGTGCAGACTCGTGCCACCTATGAGAGTGGATCAAGGACGCATGCAATCACCCTCGTTTGCGTGACACGCCAATTTCAGCTTGCAAAAATGGGAATATTTTTTTGTAAGTCCTTATGCATGTCAATCCACGGAATCTGCCAAGATTCACAAGGCGATATGTGGAGTTCGTGGTGCTGATTTCGCAACAGAACGCACCTGTGTCAGAATGGGGTTCGCTTAACTCCCTTTGTGGGGAGTATGTACTCTTAGCGATCCACTGGAGTTGATGACGGCCACATTCACCCCTGGTCGAGAGATTGTACAGAGGTTGGTAAATATATCATACACACGACTGAATACCGCTCAACCTGCCCTGGCCTCATTACGCTGCCCGACATTTATGTCCCACTTGAGTTGATATCGATTTTACTCAAATCAACCAATCAGAATTTCCAATTCGCACCTCAGACAGATCAAAATCGTCTAGTTGTCATAACAAAGCATAACTGGTGATGGAAAGTGTACCGTATACTCTATAATTAGTCGAAATCGATGATGGTGTCAGCACAAACCACATCAAGGCGACTGAATCGCATTACAAGCAACTGACAATGCGAACCTTGTCGAGTTACAACTCTGAACTGGTGTTCTTTGGTGTGCTTCCACACAACCAAGCGAGCAATGCAAATTTCGACTGTCACCGACAACTGAAGCTGATGAACTAAGACGTAATCGAGGAAAACACTTCGAACTGTCAAAATGAGAAGGAATCGTTTTCCACAAGGGACTAGACAGAGCCTTCCCACATGTGTCTGGTGACTTGTTGACAACGCGTCATGTTGCGTATGTCCGATTCAATAGTCCCAGTTCCGCAGACGATCAGATTTCCATCGTTGTTGAGGATTTTGTAACTCCATCAGTGGTAAAGCTCTCACCAGTTGTGATTCTGATGATGTGGATGATGTTGATGATCTGACTAGAAGTGTTTGATGAGCGTGGGGTCACAACGTTCCCACAAAACTGTCGAAATGGAAAATACACACCAAATTGAACCTCGTTTTTTGAACCCAAGTAATTTATGTTCTACAAAAACCTATTTCATTTGGTTGGTTAACTAAATGATGATTGTTATTTAGGAGGTGATTAAAACAAACGACTGGAACTTGGCTGTACGATGCCTTCACACACACACGACTGGCAACTCCTGGTGAAGTACTAGAGATTGGCCAGAAATTGATGTCGAATCTTCTGTTTGAAAAACTCCTGCATCGCTCGATCAGTTCACCATTAATTTCGAACGTCGCAAATCTTTTTAGGTAATAAAAAATCACTAACTAGCACGCTATTCCGAGTGCTTAAACTACTCACGAAAAGGTATTCACATTGGCCGGGAATCAGTCAACCTCAGTTCAAGTCTCAAGTATCGATTTTTTGTTCTGTACGCACGGCTTAAGTATCATGAGTCGTGCCCAATTAAAAAAGAGTGATGAATGTAACCAAAATTTAATTGCTCATTTCTCTTTTATGCACTCACAAACCACCTGCCAGATATTGCCAGAGATTAGCGCCAAGTTAATCTACCCCGGGCTATGCTCTATAGCCATGTCAGAACACAGCGTGACCTTGTCACGCTCACAAACACACAAAGCCAGCAGGTGGTGAGTTTGACCGGCTCTCTCAGGCAATATTTACCCCCTAACCGCTTCAAGCCCGCCTGTCCGTTAATCCATTCTCTTGACAGCTTAGGCAGCCCCACCCCACCCCCGCTCATTCACACCTAACCTCCACTCCCGCCCCATCCAACACCGTTGAAAGCAGACTGCAAAAGTCCAGAAGCTGGTAAATGAGCTGACAGCTGATATTTGCCACCTCTCGCACATGCCAATTTGTATTAACTTGCTTGTGGGTTTGAGAAAAATTTCATTTAAGGGATCGCAAGTCCTGGAATTCAGTTCTTAATTTTGTTCCAGGATATCTCCAGCTTCCTTCTGTGGTGCTGCAGATGAATGTCCACTCTAAAGTAATTCTGAAAGGGAATTTGGGTGCAGTTAATATTCTTTTCGAAATTATAGCATCAGCAAACGAAGAAATCGATATTTGCAGTTTGAATTGTAGTCAGCTGCCAGTCACGTGGCTAATGAGTGGCTTTCGTGAGTCGTTTGATTATCGATCGTCACTGCAGACGAACGCACTAGTGCTGACCACATGAGTATCGATCGTCATTCAGAGCGAAAGTTTTAAATTTACCATCAAAATAAGGATGAAGGATAATTCTACAGAAGCCAAAATCGAAGCCTGTGTATACTGGAAGAGATCGGCACTGTTTAATGCTCAATTGAAGCTGCATTTCATGAAAGTTGTGCTGAAATCACTGATGCGAGTGGAGGTCGATTTAAATAGTGACGGCTGTCATTCCCAGGGGGTTTAGTTTTGCGACGTTATTTCCATAAATGGTTAACGCGGCCACGTGGAAAGGCCATCTAAATAGCAGTCATCTTTTAATTAACTTCCCAAATGAAATAGGTTTTTGTAGAACCTAAATTTCTTGGGTTCAAAAAACGAGGTTCAATTTGGTGTGTATTTTCCATTTCGACAGTTTTGTGGGAACGTTGTGACCCCACGCT